CTTATTTGGAAACCATTCAAATGACATTTTTGTTTCTAAAGAGCTTGAAAATGCAATCTACCCAGAAGTCTCATATTATAATATTTGCATTTATCTGTTATAAAAACAGTGTTTGCCACAAACAATCTTTAATTATAAGCTCACAAGTAACATGGGAAAAATATAGCAAAAAAGTAATTGGAAGTGCCATCAGCCATTCATCTTACCTAGGCTGAAGGGCTAGAGGATGCAATATTTAAGCTAAGTTACTTTTACTATTTGCTTATTTATTTATAATAAACTAGCTAATGATTTTGCAGAGTGGGCTAACACATAGAGGAAAAGTAATTTTCCGGTTTAAGCTCCAATTTGATTGTAGAATATAATGTTTTTAGATATACTTAAAATGATATAAGCCTAATATAAATTATGTGATCTATGTTTGTTAATGTTAAAAAACATTACTGCTATTAATTTTGCAAGGAATGTACACTTTGCAAGGTGATTTTCTCTTAGCTTTATTGGATGAGGTAAAACTCTGCTAACTTCCATCGTACAATCAAATGCAATAAATAATATGGGTTTTTTTTCTTGTTTGCGATTGGATATTCTTTGTACAGTGAATTTTAGCCACATTCACTAAGCTAAGGGAACATTCCCTTGCAAAGTGAACAGCATATTTCCTTTTAGTAAATTGACCCCAGTGTGTCACTTTAAACAATGTACTTCTTGTGTAGTTGATAATTCTTCTCAAAACTTAAGCAGAGCTAGAGTGATTGCGCTGAGCCAATAAGAGTTTCCTGTAGCAGACAATCCAAACATAACTTTACTTAATACCATAACAGAAATAAGTCATTAAAAAGTCAAATTGAAACAACTTTAAGGTAAATACTGCAGTAATATCTGAAACGTACTTGCTAGAAATACACTATAATTTCCCTTTAAACATTATTATATAGACTAGAACATGTTTTTTACTTACTTTTTATCATTTTAAAATTACATTTTTAAATATGGCCTTGTTAAGATATTAGATGTCAGTGCATGTGTATATATAAGAAGGAGGGTGAACTTTAAGGTACATTTCTAATAAAACTGCCAAACATTTTGATGTCCTCATTCAGAAAGTTCAGGTTACATCTATGGTAGTAGAGAATCTTTGTTTAAGGTGAGCGAGGTGAAAAGTTTCATCCCCATTAAAGAATGCTAATAACTGCATGATTTCAAAATGTCTTTCTTACAGTTTTCAGGTGACTCCTTCTGAAAAGAGTCTAGAGTAAAGGTCATAGAAATGCAAATGACTTGACTTGGTGAGATGAGCCTGCTATGCATTACATATTCAATCCAGAGGCTGAGGTGTTAGAAGGGTCATATAAATTCTTACAAAACCAATTTTGCTATGTGCAGGTTGTGATCTAGGGACAAATCAAGCCCAATAAGTACTTCAAACAATATAATCAATCATGGGAAAGCCAGATAAAATAGGACTTTTTACGACTTGTGAATTTTTGTAGAAATTTCTTGAAAGAATTTTTGAAGTGAGTATTAATATAAAGTAATACAACTATCTCAAAATAGTATAAAGGAGTTTGTTTAAATAACAGCTGTTAATAAATTAAATGTGGCTCACACTTTTAAAGTTTAAACTGAACCTGAACTCCATTCAAAACTATTAAAAGTAAACGTCCTGTCTGCAATCAGATACCATTAGGTGCCTGCTATTACATTTCTTAGCCAGAAAACACTGATTCCTATTTCTACTGGTCCCTGACTTTAAGGTTAAGCTCCACCAACTTGCATCTGCCTTCTATGGCCACTAATATAGTCTAATTGGATATACATTTGGCAGCTGTAAGACCTTATTCGTGAATTCAGGATAGCCAAGCCCCTGTAGCAAAGTCAAAACAAATTAGGAAGAGGCAGAGAAAAGGCCTTTCTTGCTAACAAAGGTAAAAGGAGGCATCTTATTATAGCTTCTTTCTGGTTAGATTTTTATGTTCTGAAATGTAAAAAAAGGAGTACAGGCAGAACTGCATCCAACCAATGAAAAATGAAAAGTTAGAGAAGAGTCCAAGAGTCCAATGAAGTGCACTCCAGATAGGCGTGTTTGTTATAGACTGGTGTGCAGCTCGTGGTGGAAACAGACTGGGGTGTCTTGTGTGTGTGCTGTAGAAAACAGAAACAACGGAGCGCCACAACCTAGCGCAATAAACCAAGCATTAGAGGGAGCCATAGTTGCAGTCACATGTTGAAGGGTTGATAGAAGCTCAGTAAAATAAACTAATATGAAGCAGCATGGTGTCATCCAAGTGAAGCTGGGGAATGTACGGTGGTGAGAGAGATTTATCTAGCCCGAGAGGTTGGGATGGGAATGAAGAAACCAGATGAAACAGAGAAGAGAGACAAAAAACAGCAAATAGTATGGTACTGATGTTTTAGAGCACGGAAGTACATGCACTCACCTTCTATATAAGGTGTCATGTAGCTTTAAAAGAAAGGGTCTGCTGGCTTCCACGGTGGAGATATTTTTGCATTCTAGAGTCTAGACAGATGCTGTGTATGGACTGCAATGAATGGTCCTGGATGCTGGGGATGGACCTGCGTCATCCTGAGCTGGTCAGACGCTGTGCTGGTGAGGGAGACGGGAGCGTTGCAGGTGAGTGGGAGCACTGTAGATGTTGAGCCTAATGCACCTACAGCCACCAAGGCACACACAGTAGGGCAAATATGAACAGAAACCAATGAACCAATTAATGGGGTTGATTTACTAAAGGAACAGAGGCTGTTCACTTAGCAAAGTGAAACCTCAATTCCAAAGTGTATGTTCACTTTGCAGAGTGGATAAAAGTAAATAAGCTGAACCTGTATTCATATCACTTGCCCAATCAATAATGTGCAAGTGAAAAATAAAACTGCATTTTTGCTAGCAGGAGGTAATATATTAAAAATGAACAAAACTTAACTTTATTTACAATGATTCACTTAACAAAATAAACACTTTGGAAAGTGGACATTCACTTTGTTAAGTGAACATCCTCTAGAATGCTTTTGACATAGTAGGTATGGGAGGAAATAGGACCATCTAGTTAAAAGCAGAAGAAAAACATTGAAACCCCATGCAGATTATATCATTGCTGAGAATTGAACCCAGGAGCTAATCATGCTGACCTAGTAACGTTTAACTGGACATGCAAATTATTGCAGTACTATTGCACTGAAATACCAGTTTCAGCATAACTTTTAACAATATTTAACAGTATGCTTTAGCAGTGTAGCTTTTGTACCTATTGTGCTATATTTTATGATTTATTTTATTATATTGTGTACAGTTTTACCAATATGATTTTTTATTAGGCCATAATACCACATCCATCATTTATCATAGGAAAACTATTATTAAAAGAAAATTGTCAGACCTTTTCGGTACTGCCACATACACTTTTATTATAGCCATATACAAAGTTTTATTTTATTTTAATAAAGTTGAAAAAATATGCAGATACTATTTCTATCAACACATATAGTTCTTATAAAGAGTACTAGTGGAGTATGTATAGTATCCAATCCCCTCAGAGAGATCTATTCTCAAACAACAGTCACTGACCTCCTTATTTTTCTCTATATGAAATGTGTTAGTTTTCTCAATTCCTCTTTCTTCCTGTTAATTGTTATTGGTGTATCAATGAAGCGATAAAACTCTCTATGCGTTTCACAGAGGCTCAAGCCTGTCTTATCAGGAGAACCTCTTAAGATCTTTGCTTACAATGGAAACATCTTTTTTTTCCATATATACCACAGGTAGTAGCCTATTGATCCCACAACAGCAAGCACAGAGGCACCAAATGGACAGGAGAGACCACCAGAGAAGCAGACCTGTAATGACTTTGAATCACTAGATGAAAGTAATAAAAGAACATCAATCATTTCCTTAGTAAATTATAAGTAATCAAAGGTGTTTTTATATATCATGTGCTCTCAGCAGGGAATAGTCAAGATTTTAGTATATATTCCCTGGTTTTAGTCCCAATTCTCTGTTAGATAGTATATATCCTATCTTTCTAATCAGCAAACATATTTTCCCACTTGAACATATACCGTATATACTCGAGTATAAGCCGAGTTTTACAGCCCATTTTTTGTGCTGAAAAGTGCCCCCCTCGGCTTATACTCGAGTCAGCATCTCAGTGGTCAGGTGGGCGCTCCGAGCGGGGTCATCTGGCAGTCTCCGGGTCCTAATTCAGGTGGCCAGAGACTGCCAGATGACCCTGCTCGGAGCACCGCCCACCGAAGCAGCAGTGACGCGACGCGACGCTCGGCGAGGTAAGTAAGAAGAAAAAAAAACCCCCCACAGCGGCCAGTCAGAAGCAGGGGAGCAGGGATGAGTCAGCGGCGCGCTGGTCAGACGAGAGGAGCTCCAGGTGGGGTTGTAATTTAGCTGGCAGGCACCTCTAAGTCAGCTAAATTAGGACCCCACCTGGAGCTCCTCCCACTGGACCAGCGCTGCCGCTGACTCGTCCCTGCTCTCTCCGGCACAGTCACACAGTGAGTGAGGGCAGATTTGGGGGGGAGATTTATTAAGCAATTATGTATTGTCTGCACTGTATTAGCAGTATATACTCTATATAGAGTATATACTGCTAATACAGTGCAGACAATACATTTACAATTATACTAACATGAATGGATTAAATGATCTGTATGTAGCCCTGTACTATGGATCATTTAACCCATTCATGTTAGCAGAGGATCATTGTAAATGTATTGTTGCAGGCACTCTATATGTACATGTACTATATACTACATATAGAGTGCACTGAACAATAGATTTACAATTATCCTCTGCTAATATGAATGGGTTAAATGATCCGTAGTACATGATATGTAGCCCTGTACCCCCTTTTCCACTTACAGAGCTAGGTTATTGTTTTTCTTTTAAATAAATATTCATGTAATTTTATTGGTATCTATCTTCATTTTGTACATTTACCAGTAGCTGCCTCATTTCCCACCCTCGGCTTATACTCGAGTCAATATTTTTTCCCAGTTTTTTGTGGTAAAATTAGGTACCTCTGCTTATATTCGGGACGGCTTATACTGCAGTATATACGGTATTAGTTGGGAAGATTTCTGCCTTTGTACTTATTGTGCTATGTTTTATGAAATTACTAAATTGTATGCAGTTTTAGCAATATATGAAGCAGGGGTATATTTTAGAAATCACTGGGACCCATAGCAAAATTATGATGCTGTGGGTCCATGGGTCTATGATTTTATTTTCCCCCAGCTTGAGGCTTCATTTTGGCAACCCCTTTCTGGTGCGCCCTACACTTTGCACTGGTATAGTATCCTAAATCATAAACACTTTTTATATTTGAGCTCAGTGGTGACCTTTTATGTCCCACAAATAAAAGCATCTTTATTGGTAAAACTTATGAACCAAACTTACACTAATGATTAGTGGAAATACTCCCTTGAAGTAACCTGTGCATTTGTGGTAAGTAGAAAAGCCGCTAATACAATCTTTTATTTGTTTGTTATGGGGAATGACACCCAATAAAAGCCCATTTTATTGGTGGTCAGGGGAAATTTCTCTGCATGGGGAAAGCCCTCTGCATTGATGGTTAGTGGATATGGGTCCTTATAAAAGTTGTCTTTACATTGATGGAGAATATGTTCATCTCTTCAATGTTGGTCAATTAAAATTTCTCACTAATAAAAAACAATTATTTGCGTTAGTGGCTGCTGGAAGAAAACATTAAAAACATTTTTTCATTGATGTTTAGTTGAAGTGCACCTTGTAATTGTGTGAGCTCTCACCCTTCCTCTGATTTGGTGAAGTACAATGCAGTCAGACTGGTTATTCAGCTTTGATATGATCACTGTTGCCATCAGTAGAATAATTGAAGACTGTTTTGATGCAGAGACATAGCTGGCTCCTTTTGAGGTCAAGGCAAGAACAGAAATTGTAGCTTCCCAGGTTATTTAGAGGAAAGTAAATAACAAGAAAATTATTTTTTTTTAGGTTATAGGAACAGAGATTGGGAGAAAATAATATTTTTAAGGGTGTGATGGGAACATTGCAAGGATCTTTGCATACATGAGTGAAGGTGCATTTTCTAGTCCCCCCGGCACCCTAGCATGTAGTGACCCCCATCATATGTACACAGGAAGCATGAAGTGACCCCCGTCAAATATACACAGAAAGCATGTAGTGACCACCATAAATCACAAAGGAAGCATGTAGTGACCCCTCTCTTGGACAGTCAGTGTCCCTTATGATACCCATGTAGCATTCAGCAGCCAGCACAGACATGCAGTGCCTCCTCATCAGATGCCCACAATCCATAAGGTGGGCTCTCAGGTGGGCTGTGCAGGCTCTCGGGTGGTCTCTGTTGGCTCTCAGGTGGACTCTGCAGGCTCTCAGGTTGACTCTGCAGGCTCTCAGGTGGCTGCGTGGGGTCTCAGGTGTGCTACGCAGGCTTTCAGGAGGGCTATGCGGTGTCTCACAAGGGGTCCAGAAGACTACAAAACCCAGAAATACTGATGTCTAAATGAATAAGCATGTTACACATCATTCACATCAAAGCATTCCTAGTATACTGCAGCCCTCTCTATACAGATATAAATCTATAAATGTGACAACAAAGCAAGATAATCAAAGTAAAATGTGAACTGAATTCTGATGGTAGTAGGACAGTTGTATTATGGCATTATCATCACACATGACAGCTTCTGCAGAAGAGCTGAGCAAGGGGGAACGTCAGTGTTGAATAGGTTAACCCACTGCTCCCATATGTGATTAGCACTGGCTAAAGCCATAACTGCACTGGCTACAGGTAAAGTGTTACACATTCCATCATGTAATGAATAGAATGTGTGCTTGACAAGACTAGATAATGCATTTTCTTCTAAAGGGTTGGGGTTCTCTAATGATTAGGTACAGTGTATTGCTTAAGCATCTGATTAGAGTCTAATCTGATGCATAACCAATACACTGAGCTGGCCTACACACAGTTAATGTGGTTACATGGTTTGCCTGGTCTGTGCACTGATAAGGTGCACAGACCAGGCCTCTTCTCATCTATTTTCCCACCATCAGCAACATCCTCTCTCCTCTCCAGATGCTTCTATCTTCTGCCTGTCAACTGGCACACACCCACCCACCACTGTTAACCCATCCCAGCCTTGGCAGCATCATGATCATCTCCAGCTACTAGAGCTCTCATAGCAGAGCCGCCTCCACCAGCACATACACACATGGCATGGAGAGGGGACAGAGGAGGAGGGCCTCTACACAGCTCTTCTCTCTGGGTTACCCGCTTTGCTCTGTGCTCATCCAGTGCTCTGCATCCTCCAGGAATGCTCCACTGTCAGTGCTGAGATGCAGGGCCAGTGCAAGGATTTTTGCACCTGTGTTAAAGACAGTACTATGTGCGTATACGTATATGCATAGGTTTCAGCATATACCTACCACAACAAGTACCTCACCCGCCTCACCATTCCTACGGCTCTGTTCTGATGCTCCACTAAGTTCTGTCCTTTACATCAGCCACAGCTATGCTTCTCTGAGCAAATAGATCAATGCAAAAAAACCTTCTACAATTCACTTAACCTTAGACACTGTCATATCATGCTCTTTGACAGTAGGAGTGAGGCAAGTGAACAATGAAGGGGAATATAATTTTATGAATTTTCATCAACTCTTACTGGTCACAAATCCTTGCCTCCCTCCCTCCAACCATCTACATCTACATCCTTTCCCTGCTTTCCTCTTTCAAACCAATTATCTCCTCATCGATCTCTACTACAATCCATCTTTCTCTCATCCATCTTACCTCCATCCAACCATCCATCCAATTATTGTATTTATCTATACCTCCACCTTTCAATTCATCATTCGCCCAAGCCATTCATCCATACTTTTTTTTAATAGCTTTCTGTTCCCCAAAATCTGAATACATTGTATGCTTGTCTTTAAAACTGAAACTCCTTCATTGAAGACAACATAATTATTTACAAGTCTTTTCTTTTGTAAGCAGCATTGACAAAGAAGGGCAATATATAGGGTAGGTGCCATAAATCCATAAGAAATCTGTTCAAAATGGCCTTTTGCTTACAACCACAAACCTAAAACGAAACATTCATCAATACAATTAGTACTGGCCTGAATTTTTGTCTTGTCGTGCATGCTTTTAATATTAGAAAACTGTTCTTAGGTAATTAAATAGAAACACTTGTTGAAAAATGAAAAAGCCATAACTGTGATTTCAGCACAACATGAACAGATTTATAGAACTTAAAGAGCAGCATTCTGGTAGTTGTGAGTTACTCTTACATTGTCTCTTGTTAATGAACCTAGCTTTATATCTGATCATTTGTCCTGTTACCTTAAACCATCTCAGTAAAATGCAGGCTATACAGTTCTTTTACATTTTGATTAGATGTTAATATCTTCTTAGCACTTTTTGTATACCATGATGACACTGTAAATATAGATTTTCCAATGAAAAAATATGATTAAAACATATTTAAATCTTGATGGTTCCAAAACAAATAGCACAATTAAAACAGGAGTCACTTACATAGTAGCATGCTATTACTCAAGGGATTTATATTCTGTGTTTACCATGTAACATAATGGGACATGCACAATTTCAGCAATCTGTCATGGTGATAGGTTAATAATGTAGATCAGCTATCCTATTGAATAACTGCTTTTCATTAGTTTTAACCTGGATATCAGAGCCCTAAGGGGAAGCAGATGTAATCTAATGGGACAGATTTACTGACATAATAGATTTGTACCAGAAGAAGTACATGTCAGGCCCCGAACATTAAATGCTTATGGATTATGTGTGAAGAAATAAAACAGGTTAAAATGAAATTCTGTAATGTTTCTTTATCCCTGAGGCTTAATATATAACAATTATAATGCATTCATTTGTAGAAGAGCTCATCTTTAAACAATTATAATCATATTTTGTATGCTCAAAATAAAAAGGAAGGAAGGAAGAGCAATAAAGGGCAAAATGAAGCTCATCAAACTGCTGAGTGTCAAGGCTATAATAATTAAGAAAGAACAAACATAATAACATTGTGGTAAAACAAGGCACCACAAAGCCACAGGGATGCTTTTGCTGTAAAATCTGGAGACTGAAACTGTGAGTTCATATGAGAAATAAAGACAGATGGAAAATTAGACAGACAATTGAAAGGAAAATACGGATGGGATGTAGTGTTATTTTCATAGCATTTTCATTGTATGCATTTTTGGTATGATAGTTGCTATAAGAACCAACTGCAACTAAAACTGAAATATCAGTTAAAAGGCTGAAGCATCTGACAATTGTTTTATATATGAGATCTCTGTGAAGGTAAATATTTTCCCCACCCCCCATTCTAAAAAGCCATGCCAGAGATGTCTGTCTCACTGCTGTATTTCCAAATTATTTATTTACTTGCTATGGAGAACCAATCAAAGAAGCAGGACACCATTATCTACTTCTTTCTTCTCCCCCATACGTTTTAGCATATACCTACCACAACAGAAGTGTATACAGATCTTCACTCTGTGGCAGGCCCGAAAGTGCACAGGAACTGTATGAGATATATAGAAATTATCCATGCTATTCTGGGGCTTATGCAGCATAGATATAAAGGTTGTCTACAACCTAACAGGTTGGAAGACTTCCACTGATGTAAATGAAGGTCACATGGATCACAATTGGCTGCACTGAAGAGATGGGCAGGATGTAATTGAAGTCATGCATGGGCCTAAACTTCTGATATAGCTATAATATAGCCAGGTTTTAAAGCTCCTCATTCCATACTTCTCAACACCATCCCTATTAATCCTTTACACATCTCCACTGTCAATATTTTTAAGGTGTAATCATCTCCACTATTCACTAACCTGAACATGAATTATAGTGTCAGAGAATATGGGTGACATCACTGGAAAAGGGTTGTGACATAGTAAGGACCATTGGTTAGTTGGCTGGCATCTGCATCTGCCAACAATGAAAAAGACAGAAACGGGGACATAGTAAATGGCGCAACAAATGAAATGTATCTACAGAAAACATTGCTACTAAGGGGTCTATTCACAAAGCTGCCGAAGGATCTGGCCATAGCTTCGGCCGATCCTTGAGCTAGCTTCGGCCCCAGGACCCCTTCGGTTTGTAGAACCGAAGGGGTGCTGTAAGGGCTATTCACAATAGCTCGTACAGCTCCCGATCATGGCCGATAATAGGAAACTATTGGGCGGAGCTAGCTGTCACTGCTAGCTCTGCACAATTGTTTTCTATTTACTTTTTTTTACTTCTTTCACTCTTTTTCTGTTCTGCTCGGTCTGCTCTGTTCTGCTCTGTTCTGCTCTGTTCTGCTCTGTTCTGCTGTTCTGCTCGGTCCTTCTTTTTACTTCTTTCACTCTTTTTCACTCTTTTTCTGTTCTGAGGGGCCGAGCAGAACAGACTGCTGTTCGGCATCTTTAAGAATAGCTTTATCAGCCGTACCAGCCTGAAGTGAATAGCCGAACAGTGTTCGACTCACTTCACTTCAGATCGGTCATTCACTCGGCTGCCCTCGGCAGCTTAGTGAATAGACCCCTATGTCTGCAATAATACACAGAATGATAATATACGTCTTTT